AAAATAACACTCTTTTCTTAGGCTCTGGGGAATGCAGACAACTCTATTGGAATATGAAAATTTCAACCTTAAACCTGTGAACTCTGCTGGGACTGCAGAGGCATTTTAACATCAACCCCAGGAAATGTACACATGCTACAGAATTTACAACTCATCACTGTCACAGTCAGATTAGAGTGAGCGTTAAAGAGTAATACATTAACCAGGGTTAGTGCATGGAGATTGCTGTTGGAGACCTACAAAAGCAATCAATGTCCTACGTGCACAATGAAAAATAGAAGTATAGCTTGAGGTGTTTGGGGTCAAAACATAGGCCCACACATACTAGTGCCCCAGAATTTATTTTAAAAAAATTTTTCTTGCAGGCTGTTCTGCAGTTTGACTGAATTGTCGTTTGCTTGTTTCGACTCAAGGGAAACATCTGGTTTCTCCCTGCAATGTAGACAAACTGCTCTTATTCTGAAGCTGTCATCCATGAAAAGCATGGTTTGGGCTGAATAGGTTTGCTTATGAAAGGCATGGGGTCCATCTCTATAGAAATAAACAGCTCTAGTAATTGGAAGTTTGTTCCCTGTTATAAACTCTGGCTCAGAGGTGACTTAGTTGAAGTGGCGAAAGCTAAAAGGGATACATTTATTTTTTAGAAGGCATTTAATGATTTAGGATGTGGCCGGTAGAGAATTTTCCACTTAACCTTTGTAAAACATCTCTTACCCAACTTCTGCAGTTACTGAAAATGTATTTAAAGATCCCAGAGTCTGAAGGTTGAAGATTGGGTGTTACAGGATCTGAAGGAGAAAAGAGGTCTTGGGGGAAAAGTTAAGAGTTTTGGGGCTTCAATTCTTAGAACTGGGCCAGCTTTTCCTGTGTGCTTTATAGAGAAGATACTACCGAGTATTTGTACTACTTTTCAGGACCAGCGATGTAATTTGTGGGATCCTGTACAAAATAATAATGTGGGACCCCTTGTTCAAAAGTTATTAAGAATTTTGATGACAACAGTAGTGAGTATACAGGTCAAATACTTATGGGGGATGGCTCTACTTCTGTTTTAGGGATCTCTGGGGAAGGTGAGAGAACAGGATGAAAATAAGGGTGCTTGGGAAGAATGCTAATTTCTCTGGGGTCAGGGAGATGTTGGGAGAGTAGTTTCTCCTAGTCAGACAATGGACTGTAGGGATGCCCCTCTTTTCTTTGAGACAGGAAATAATAACTGTAAATGTGTTACTTTTTATTTCTTACATTTCTTTTTTGGGGATTTTTAAGTACATTTTCAGTAACTGCAGAGGTTGGGTAACTGCTAGAAGATGGGGCACTCTGCCAGATTTTGTATCTTGTTCTTTCTTGTTTTGCAAGAACATTCATAGAAAACACAGCATTGTTAGTGTAAGATAAGAGATAATGTATTTTGGGCCCTTTTCACAACTTTAAGTTTTTTCTTAATGTAAGTTAAACCCAGCCCCTAAATCCTCGGCTTAATCCTAACCTAGGCCCCTTTTTCCCTCCTCTTTCTGCTGCCGTGGCGATGCCTTCAGTCCTAACTTGTGAAGGCCTTAGAGAGGCACATTTTATTCAGATGTTGACAACCAGTCGTAGTGCCTGGCGAGGGAAAAAACCGGTTTTTGTTGGAACATAAACATCAGTATCTGCTTTCCCTTCTCTTTTCTTCCTGCACTTTTTCTCCTTTCATTCTGTTTTTGTCTTTCCTCATTCAGAACACACACATACACACGTTAAGCATGTGTCCCATATGTAGACATGAACCGCGTATTTTTGATGGCCAAAAGATGGCAACACAGGTCTGGAAACCCAAATGTATGGTCAAGATCATGTATTAGCTCAACAGAGCAGGAGAGTCTGTTGAAGCTGCGAAGTTGAGGTCTGTGCCCCACTAGGTCCTGACATGCTAATGAGGGCGCTGTGGCTGGCTGCGGGGCTCCTGCTGCCTCCCTCCGGGGCTGCAGCCAGAGGCCTGTTGGCTGACCGGCAGCTGCAGAAGGAGGGCTTGTGCGAGCCACCCTCGGAAACCGCTCTGCAAACAGCGGATTAAAGGGGGTTTTGTTGAGGAAGAGCAGATGGGCAGAAAGAGGCAGAGTTCACATTAACTGATCATAAATCGGACTCTGTTTTAGAAGGAAAAAATCTGGGCCTGGTCACTTAAAAGTCTGAGCTAATTTAATTTATTATTATTATTTTTTCCTATTAGAAGAGCACCTCATGGTTATCCTAAAAAATTTAGAATTTAGAAAGTGCATATATATGCCAGAGAAAGGGATATAAAACCCCGTATCTCCCCAGAAGGATCACCGCCAGTTCTTTTAGTATAATCCTCCTGATTTCGCCCCCTCTCCTGCTAACACCCCTACATATACATGTGTGATGATTATTTAATAAGAATTGGACACATGCTCTTCTTTCAGTTAGAGAGGAAGAGAAAACTCCTAACTAGGTGTTGAAGATCAGAACACGGGCTCATTGACAGTTTGGGTCAGGCCACCAGCAGGAATTTTAGTAATAAAACCAAAGACAATGTGTAAATTTATGTCTGGGAAGGCAGGGGCAAGGAGAAGTTCATTGGCACGGGGCCGCATTGAATTTACAATCTGCTTTCGCGGAATGTCTTGATATATACAAGCTCCCCCAAAAGAAGAGTGCGTCCGCGTGTGTGCTCCCCGTCGCCCCCTAGCGGGGTGAGAACTGTTCAGGCAGGAAAAGGTTCTGCACATGGGCTTAGTGGGTGTTCTCCATTCCCTCGGTAAATATTTTGACATAATAAATACTTGAGGCTATGGGTGTCTCTCTAGCATGCCAGGGTTCCAGCCAGTGGATTGAATTGAGTGCTGTTTTTATGAGAACAAGGCAAGATTCAGTGCTCAGTTCGTGAGGTGAGATACTCAGCCTAGGAAAGTCTAGAAGTCCTCTAAGCAGCCAAGGGTTGGTCCAACTCGTTAATCATTTCCTGCAAGGTTTCTAGGAGTCATTGGCTTTTTAGTGTATCCCTGTACTAACAACAAGATTGAACGAAATACAAAAATTAGCTAAAATGAAACCTTGGGGAATCCTATCAGGAGGAGTTATTTCAACAAAAATAACTGGAATGCTTTGAAAAATCTCAGTGGTGGTGAATGGTGCTAAATAGACACATTACATTACATGAAATGTAAAAAATATTGTGGAATGTTTGTGAAAATCTAGAATTGTGCGCTGCATTTCATCAGTGTCTCAAATTTCTTTTTAAAATGTAATAAACTAAAGCTAGAAATACTGGTCAGTGAGTGCTGAATGAATGAGTACATGGAGAGAACGGCAGATGCATGATTCAAATTTCATCCTTGATTTGGGGCACGTGGGAGAGGATTGAGAGACATGTTTCTTTTCTCTCACTTGGCTGAATGTTTGTCACTTAAATGGGCTTCTTACCAGATACCAGTAACATGATAATTTGATGGAGTTGCTCCCTTGGGTGGGAAGTCAACCATCCCCAGACTCTAGGTCTCCATCCTCTCTGGGTTTGGCCACAGGGTGCCGGACCACCTGACTGCCACCAGCCCTTCCACCTTCATCTCTTGCTGTTCCCTGCCTTCCATCTGATGATTCTGGTCTTGCAGGAGTTCCTGCCTGCGGCCACCCACATGCATCTATGACTCAGGTGCACCACTTTCTTACTAGTTGTGCATCNACTCACTCATTGTTTTATTTATTGCCTCCTTCCCTGCACTAGATGGTAAGTTCCCTGTAGCTGTCCTTGTCTTTAGAACACCTGGCATACAGCAGGCCTTCACTAAATGGTGCTTGTGCCTTGCTGTGCTGGACTCTGTTCTAGGTCTAAGGAGATTTCCCTCTTTTCTGTACCTTTGCACACTGGACTCATACACTGGGCCTCACACTCTATTCTGTACTAGCATCTATCTGCCTGTCTTCTTACCAGCTCCTGGGTTTGCAAACTACAGCCAGTGGGGCAAATTCAGCCCCCAGCTTGTTTTTTTATATAGCCTGGGAGCTAAGAATGGTTTTTACATTTTAAAATGTAAACTATAAATGTACAAAAGACTCAGCCTTTGGTGGGGAACAATTGTTGGGAGAGTGAGAACATTGCCTCTAGGCCTGTAAAACCTAGACCATTATTGTCTTGGCCCTTTACAGCTCAGGGGTATTGACTGTTGGAGACTGTGAGCTGGGCAGGATAAGGGGGATGGTCTTCGGTCTCTGCATTCCCGGGACATGGTACTCAGGAAGTGTTTTTCGAATTGAACTGGACCAACGGTTTTTTAGTCCCTCCTCTGGAGTCAGTGGGGGTGCGAATCCTGCTGCTGACCTGAAACTCTTGGGGAAGATAGGGCATCTCTGAGCCTGCTGCCCTCATCTGAAGCTGGAAGTGATACCACCTTCTTCTGATGGCTGTAGTGAGGAGCTAATGATGCCGCCAGGAGGGCGATATGTATAGTGCTTAGCACAGAATTAGTGTTTAATGCTAGATGTTATTGTTTATCCAGATAAACATCCAGCAAAAGTGGAATCTGATCATAATCATATAAACCAAACTATATTGCAAGTTTTTAAAAAATGAGTCATTTTAGGTTAGCTTCTTCCTTTTTGGTGGTGTTGAAAATTATGAGTTGATCTTCTGACCATGTTTCTGACTCTTAATTTTCTTCCCCATTTCTGTCGGTTTTTTTTTTTTTTTTTTTTTGAGACTGAGTGAATCTCTTAAATGGTGCTGATGTAGTAAAGCTTCTAAGGTACCTCTAAAGCAGGAGGTCTTATTTGAGGGCAGTGAATTATCCCAGCACTTCTGGAAGTAGGTTGTGTTCCTGGAGCAATCTCTGCAGGGGTGGGCCTTTTCTCAGGGACGCAGGAGGTGAGGGTGCTGTTGGGTGGGTGGGGGAGGACACACACTTCAGAGTGGACTGTATTGACTTTGTGGGCTGGGGACACTCTAAAGATGTGAGGAATTGAAATGAATTTAGGCATGATGCACCTTGCAGTCTGTTTTTTTGCAGGGACAGTGAAGGTAAAAAGCGCCAACATTCAAGTTGGAGATCTTATCATTGTTGAAAAGGTGAGTGGGGCCTCACAGCTTGTGAGGTTACTGTGTGTGTGCATGCGCATGTGTGAGAATGGTACGTCACTGCCCCCACTTCACAAATCCTAACATGTAATTTGTGTATCTGGTAGACTGATTGAATGTGTGCTTTTGGAATTCTATCCTTCAGCTCTGCCCAGGGAGAAAAATCTCTTTCCCATGAGACATGCATGCAAAATATTTTGACAAGGTTTATGTGTGCTGGTTAGCCAGCAGTCCTGTTTACCGGCACTAGTTTTGATTTCTTATTTGATGTGTTTGTTGTTTTGGGGTCTTTTTCTGTTTTAACTTACAAAGTCTTTTCTAGAAGTCGACTTGCTATGTAAGCCTGTGAAAATTTTATATTTACCTTTTGAGCAGTTTTAGCTTGCATTTTTGACTTAAACATTGTGCTTTTCTATCATTTTATGGAGAGTCAGGGGTTAAGTGTAACATGAGAATAGTAAAAATTTTAGGCTAGAAAATGCATTTTGTAAAACAGCTCTGTTCGTATCTTTGTTACTTTGGCAAACATTCAGATCTCTTTTTAGTGTGTATATTTGGAAGGTAATGGAGTTTGGGGGTGGTTCTGGAGAGTCTTGGAATAATATTTGATTAGAAAAGGGTTGCATCTCAGCTCGTTTCTGTAGGAAGTGAACTATGCTCTTTTAAAAGGATTAAATCCAAGACCTCAAAGTTGATTTGAGGTGAAGTGAAGCTCTTCTGGTGGCAGCTCAGAAGAACCACACAAACCCTTTATGTTATTGCAGACTTTTCTGTTCATAATTAAGTGAGGGCTGCTGTTGGCTTCCCTTTTTTTTTTTTGAGAGTGGTCTTTGTTGCTTCATACTACCTGACTTTCTTATTAAAATCCCACTTGAAGCCAAATATCAAGCCAGAAAATTGGTAGAAGCAGAAATCGCAAGCAGAGTGTACATATATCTTTAGTTTCAGCAGACAGCCTGGAAGAACGCCAGCCTGGGTAGCCAGCGTTAAGGGCCTGGGTCAGTCCGCGGGTTGGAATTTCAGGAGGTAATGGTTGGATTCGCTAAAAAAGTAGAAGCTCTCTTTCCGAGATAAGGTTTCAATAGGGGATTAGTAAAGTAACAGCAGCATGCAAGTTTTTTCAGATTCAAAACAAAATAAATCCCCAAATCTGTCTCTGACAAAGGCAGAAACTTAAAAGAAGCTGTGGGTTTTGGTTGCCCCCCCATATCCCCACTGAGGGGGTTGGGGGCAGGGAACGGAAACCTCACACATGGGCATTCACAGTAACAGTCTTTCTTTTCATAACACAGAATCAGCGGGTCCCTGCTGACATGATCTTCCTGAGGACATCAGAAAAAAATGGTAAACATCTGGGATCGATTTTGAAAATAACCATTAACCTTTCAGTGGTAATTTGGCAAAATAATCATTTGAAAATGGAACAGAAGTAGATGATCATATTGGAGCCGTGGAGGCGAATCAAAAACATCTCTTTGAATAGAGCAGCCTTAAAAGAAATGTTTTTGGTGCTCACAGGTCAATAGATTTTGATCATTACAAAGATAACAGTTAGTCGGAGCCACGCGGAGTCACAGCGTGAAGTCACACACACGGTGGCTACGATTTCCTCTCCGGGCTGTATTAAGCTCAACTGCAGGACTTGGCCGGTGAGGAAGTGTGTTTAACAGAATCCAGCAAATCCTTTTTCTTCTGAGAAAATACCGGGAGATGGGACAGTAGAGAAACTGGGAAGAGAGGTAGGTGGCCTTTTCGGCCCTTTGCTCATGAGTGGCAGGGCCGTGCCCGCCCGCGCCCATCAGTTTATATATTATTGTAGCCCATTTGGGCTTGAGTGAACTGCTCAAGTCTCTTATAAGACCCTCCGCACTGCAGTTATTTCACCGTCTGCCCTCCCCATCAGTTGACTCAAATCTTTTTATTTTTTGTTAAGCTGTTCTGGGGGAAACAAGGCTGTTTAATCCCTTGCCTACAGGCACAGTCAGAGATCTCTGAACCTCTGGAAAAACTGCATTTGTAATCCTTTGAGGCTGCTGCCACCTATTTTATTATGAATCTAGCAAAAGTCCATATGAAATTTTATACTAATACATTGATTTGGAGAGAGAGAGATGGAAAACACTAGATGAAAACAGTCTTCCTGTAAAAATTACAGCTTTGTCCTCAAATTGGTTCTTGTGTCCTAGTCAGTGAAAAATGGAGCATTATGAGTGGGTTTGGGTCCCTGAAATACTTTCCTGTTCTTCGAAAAAAAAAAAAATAAAGTCAATAAATAAAGATTAGAAGTATTTTTCTTCCTTTATGGTTCTCAGAAGCCTCAACAGCAGTGTCAGTTCAGTACATTCTGGGTCTGATGAACTATATATGTAGCTGGCTCATTGCTCAGACTTGTACAGCAGACTGAACTCTGCGTCCATAATGGGTGCAAGCCAGTAACAACAGCAGACAGTTGGAAATACTTTCAGGGTTCTGAGCAGTTTGCATGAATCAGGTCTTCAGTCCACAGCATGAAGTTGGTGCCCTTATCTTCATTTTTACATTCTGGGTAAGTAACTGCCCCAGAGCACACAGCCGGTAAGATCCAGAGCTGGACTTGATTCCAGAAGGTCTGGTTCCTGATACCTGTTTGTAACCCCTGCCCAGAACAGGCTTGAATGCTGGTTCCCTGTGGCAGCCACTGTGCAGGAGGTTCTGTCACCCCACTGACTCATTTCAGCAAGTTTGTGGGGTCTGTGTTTCTCCCCATTTTACAGACCGGACACACTGAGGCTTAGGGAGGTTGAGTGACTAGCCCAGGCATCCACAATGAGTGTGTGGTGCAGTGAGGATTTGAATCTAGATTTTATGACCCCAGAGCTTATGGAGGAAATAGGAAATGGGGTGTTTATTTTCCCTTTTGGTTGTTGACTGCTGATTGGTTACTTTTACAAAGACCAGAGCAAGAACTGCTCAGAGCGGCCAAGGAAAGGGTTCAGAATAGCAGGTGAATGGATGGGGCCCAACTTCCATCCACAGGGTCCTGCTTCCTGCGGACAGACCAGCTGGACGGGGAGACGGACTGGAAGCTGCGGCTGCCCGTGGCCTGCACGCAGAGGCTCCCCACTGCCGCCGTGAGTCCCCTCTCTGTGGGCGCGCAGCCCAGCAGCTGACAGTGCAGGGCTCTCAACCTCCTCCACCCTCGGGGGCCAGGCCTGGGATGCAGATGTGAGCGGGGCTGGCCAGGTGGTACGGGGGCCCGGGGGTCTTGAGTGCTTGTGGTTTCTGAGAGATGTGGCCATGCGCAAAGCAGACCTGCACCAGGGACGGAGCTCTTCCCGGGGATGCTCTGAACCTCAAACCTCGACAGGGTGCCTCTGCTAAAGCTGCAGAGTAAGCCAGAGTGTGTCATTCCTCTGCTGAAGAACTCCAGGGGCTTCTCCCCCTGGGACCTGATCGAGTAGTCCTCGCTGGGGTCCTCAGGCCCCACATGACCTGACCGTCTGCTGGGGCGCTGACCTCAGCTCCTGGCCCTCTGCCCCCTGCTCCAGCCACAGTGGTCCCTCCATCAGGCATATTTGCCCTTGCCGTTTCCCATACTGAGAACAGTTGTACGCAGTGTATGTCTGCAGGGCGTCTCCATCATGTTATCTGGGCTCTGTGCACAGGTCTCCTTATCCAAGAGGACTTTTCTGTCCACCCTTTCCTGGCATCACCACTCCACTCATTTCAGGGTCATGTCTTCAAGAACAGAGTTCTGCCTGGTGTGTTTGCTGCTAAATACCCAGTGCATGGAACAGTGTGTGGAACAGCACTCATGCCCTCTCTGAGGGGGCAGTCTCAGTAGTTGGAACCAACTGTCAGTCACAGCTCTCCAAGGTCCCCTACTTCCTCACCAGCACTCATGCTGTGACTTGTAGAGTGAAGGGAGGGAGCCAGAGAGTGAGTTTAAACACAAGCCGCAGGGGTTGGATGTGGCCTGTGGACTAGGTCACAAAATCACAGAATGTAGTTTCATGGCCCAGCAGTGGTCTAGAAGGGTTAAGCCGGACATGTGAGCACTTCCCGGGCTCGTTTCCTGCTCCTTACCGTGTTCTGTGAGGAAGGGGTGGGGGGGAGATGGTTTTGTGTCCGTGTGGTCAACAGTACACATGCCTGTAGCCCTCGTGGCTTGTCACGGCCAAGAAGCAGTGACAGAGCACTGTTGTCACTGTGAAACTTTTTTTTTTTTTTGAGAGGGCATCTCTCATATTTATTGATCAAATGGTTGTTAACAACAATAAAATTCTGTATAGGGGACTCAATGCACAGTCATTAATCAACCCCAAGCCTATTTCTCAACAGTCTCCAATCTTCTGAAGCATAACGAACAAGTTCTTACATAGTGAATAAGTTCTTACATGGTGAACAGTGCAAGGGCAGTCATATCACAGAAACTTTTGGTTTTGATCACGCATCATGAACTATAAAAAAGTCAGATATGATTATTCATTTGATTTTTATACTTGATTTATATATCACTGTGAAACTTTAAACTGGGGTTTCTCTAAAGTAATGGGTTTCAAGCTGTGGTCAGGAGCCCCTGAGAACCCTTAGAAAGCACCGTCCTGCCCCTGAGACAGGCTCACCTCATGAGGGGTTCTCATGTTATCTGAGCAATGGGTTTTATTTGCTGGCAGGATTTCTTTAAAGAAAGGCTGTTTCCTGAAAGTGATTTGACAGACTCTTGTTAAGAGACGGTTGAGAGCCAAGACTGCGAGGGTGCTTGCTGCCCTGCTGCGCTGCGCTGCATTATTTGGTGTGCACCTTGCATGCATCACCCGGTTTAATAAACTTCTCTTTTGCCCCTCGCCTGCCTCAGGCCTGGGCTGGGGTCCAGAGCAGACAAGATACCACCACCGCCATCTCTGTTGCCAGGGAACTCTCAGCCTCCATGGGCCCAGGGCCTGAGTGGGGGCAGCATTTTAATAAAGTTGTAGATTAAAAGAGCTACACAAAAAGATTACCTGAGTGATCTGTGCATATATTCTTGTTTTTTTTAAAAAAAAATCCAACCGTATGGAAAGCTCTGGAGGAAAAAGTGAGAAGTCTTACTCGTAGCCTTTGTCCCAGCTTCCCCCGGGGCATCATGTAAAGTTGGTAGTTGTCTTTCCAGGTCTTTTTCGGCATGTTTCTTACAACTATACAGCTGCACACTTGGTGGTGGGTGTGGTTTTACATAAATGGGATCATACTGTATTTATTACTCTGCAATTCTTTCCCTTCCATTTTGCATGTGTCCCCGGGCCTTTCCTTATCAGGACACAGAGGCTGCAGAGCAAGTATGTGTGCACACAGGTCCTCCTTGGTCGTTAGCAGAGAGTTCAGGCCCTGCCCAGGGGCTGGCAAGTAACGTCTACTCCCTCTACTCCAGACCCTGTAGCCAAGGGGTATTGTGGCCTGAATTTGACTGACTGTCTGCTTGGAGTCTTTTTTTTTCCCCAATTTTGTTTTTATTATAATAAAGGACACATAAAATTTTTAAGTGGCCAGTCCAGTGGTGTTGAGTACATTCCCAGTGTTGTGCACCCATCACCCCCCTTCATCTCTGGAAGTCTTCGTCATGCAAAACTGAAACCGTACCCATCGAGTAACACATCTTCCCCCAGCTCCTGGCAGCCACCACCCTACTTTCTGTCTCTGTGAGTTTGACTGCCCTGGTACCTCATATAACTATTTGTCTTTTTGTGTCTGGTTTATTTCCCTTGGCATAATGTTCTCAAGCTTCAGCCATGCTGTAGCAGTTGTCAGAATGCCCTTCCTTTTTAAGGCTGAGTAATATTCCATTGTTTGTATTCACCATATTTCGTTTATCCATTCATACATCTGTGGATACAGGTTGCCTCTATCTTTTGGCAATTGTGGATAATCCTATGAACGTGGGTATCTAAGTATCTTTTTGAGACCCTGCTTTTAATTCCTATCGAATAGATTCCTATTCATATGGTAATATTTAATTTTTTTTGAGGAATATACCCCTCTACTGTGTACTGCAATGGCTGCACCATATTATGCTGGAACCCTCCCACCAACAGTGCGCGAGGGTTCCAGTTTCCCTACATTCTGAACACTTCTTTTTGATAGTAGCCATTCTAATGGACATGAGGTGCTTCTGTCTGTTTTCCACCCCTCTGCCCTTTCCAGGGCTTTGCACAGAGTAGGTACCCAGTAACCATTTGTTGAATGAGCATGTATTTTCATCGTTGTAAATCTTGTAAACCGGAGCATAGCAGAGGGGAGCTGTGCCATCAACCAGCTTGGGAAATGCTGCGTAAACACAGATGAGCAGCTATCTTCACAGTAGAGTCTCTCAAGGTGTCTTAGGATATATTGTATGTGTGACTCCTAAATTCACTTAAGAGAAGAGTTTCCTCTTCCCACCTGCCCTGTAATTTTGAGAGCCTGTTTGTTGTTTGGGAAATGTAATTGCTTTTGAAAAATAGGGGATGCCTCCTGAAACCTCTCTAACCATAAACTTTGTTTTAACTCCACAATGTCACATCTGTTGGACAGGATCTTCTTCAGATTCGATCGTATGTCTATGCAGAGGAGCCGAACATTGACATCCACAACTTTGTGGGAACCTTTACCAGAGTAAGTCATCTTAGCTTAACATGGGATCCTGTTTTAAGGAGTGTGTTAGCAATGAAGGCCTGCAAAGGAGGGGGTGAAATTCCCTTCTGAAGGCCCCATCTTGAAAGCTGACCTACTGTTTGTCAGTGAGGTTGACACAACTGGGATTTTCCTCCAGCCTCTGAGCAGCTGCAATTAACCTGACAACTCAGAGCCAAGCGTTACTACCATCACTGTCACCTCCGATGTTGGAAAGCAGCTACCCTTTTCAGTTGAGGTGATATCTTCTTTCACTCAGACAAGTCCTGTCTGCCACTGTTACAATTACTGAGCCACTTCCCAATCTTTCAGAATAGAAAATAAAATCGAATTTAAGTTGTTTTAGGATTGTGGCAAGATGCATTTATAGATCCCAAACTGAATTGTTCATGTTCCCTTTCAACGAGCCATAGAACAGGCTGGAGAAGGGCTCTTTCTGTTAATTTGGCTTCTATATTTAATTCTTACCTTGTAAGATATTTCTTCCATGTTAAAAGCCTGCACGTCTTAAATCATGAACTGGCATTTTCAAGTATTTCCATGGAGGAGAGGGAAAGTCCAAATAGTTCATGAGCTTAACCTTCCTCTCCCGGCTGTGCTGTCATCTTCCAAGAGGGACTGATTGTCCTGCCCGCTGTCGTGGGGGAGCAGGCTGGAAAAAGTGTGGGTCCTTCCAAAAGCTCAGCAGGTGAGGGTGCGTCCATCTGATCTCTTCCAGGAGGACAGCGACCCTCCAATCAGTGAGAGCCTGAGCATAGAAAACGCGCTGTGGGCCGGCACTGTCATCGCGTCAGGTAAGGGTGCGTTTTAGAAGGAGTATGTTAGCAATTTGAAAAGGAAAGAAAATCCTTTTGTGCAATTAGAATAATCATCTGTCCGTTGGGAAAATTGTCAGTCAAATGATGTTTTCCACTTGTTCCTGCCCCTCCAGGGAGTTACCCTGACATCTAATGGCCCCTCGGACACTTGTGGGCATCTGGAAGAGAAGCTGCTCTGGCCTGTGGACTTTTCTGCAGCTTCCACTCTGTGAATAGCCCTTAATTGCCACTTCAGAGTGACATTCTAATCTGTACCAGAAATCGGCTCAGCCTGGACATTCTGGCTGGATGTCGTGTCCATGGGGGCTGCTGAGCTGGTCCTGCTGGTCCCAGGACCCTGGTGCACAGGAAAGGGCTGTGGGCCTGAGTTGGAACCTTGGTACTTAAAACACCAAGATGACATGGAAATTGGTATCTTCAGTTTTGAACATGGGATGAAACTCAGCCGAAGGGAACCCAGGGCTGAGTGTGCTCTGCAGTAGCCCCGGCTGATCAGTGGGGTGTTGCTGATCTGTCAGATACTGTGCATTACACACTGCATTGAACCTTCCCTGCAGTACCATGAAGGTAGGCGCTAGTGTTTTCCCCATTCTGCAGACAAGTAAACTAAGGTTCAGGGAGGTTAGTTCACTTGCCCAACAGCATGCAGCAGATAAAAGGCAAAGCAGGGTCTTGAACACCCACACTTTACTCCGGAAGCAGAACTCAGTGTGCAGCTGTTATTACTGTATTATGTGCATTATATAATAATATAGACTATTATTAACATGTAAGTCCACTACTGGCAACTTCCTGTCTTTACTATGGGAGTAGAAATTTTTATTCTTCCTTCAAACATGATATCTCCATCCTACCAACCTATTTTCCTCTGCTTGGTGCTGCTCTGAGGCTCCTCAGTACAGCAGCCAGGTTGCCGTCTGACTGCAGAGGGGAAAGCCAGCGCAGATGACCCACAGGCTACCACGGGTCACCAGCCAGAGACTCCCTCGGTGCCCGTGGACAGAGATGAGCTCTCCCTGGAGGTTCCGTGCCATGTTTCTTTTCCACTGCCTGCCTGTATTTGCAGCATAATCTGAAATGTCCGTCAATCCCCTTGGTGGCTAAAGAAGAGGGAAACCGGTCCTTAAGATTCTGCATGGCCACAGCACAGCCATGTCACAGCCACGGCCACCCGGGACTTGCAGCCTCCCTTCTCCCTTCTGCCTCTCCCCTGCCACTTGTCCGCCCAAATCCGTCTCAACTTGTTCCTCTTCCCAGTTTTTCTCACTTTGAAGTCATTTACTAATAAGTAATTCTTTTTAATCTTTAATAATTTGACTGGAAAATAAGCAACTTGGCTTGATTTGCATTTCCGGGATTACCTGGAAGCTTGGCATCTTTGCATATTTCATTTCTTCCTTTGTCAGTTACTTTTTGTGTCCTGAGGTCATTTTCCCACTGTGGTTCTCATCTTTCTCTTATTCCTGTAAGAGTTTCTTGTTTCAGGTATATAAGCCTCAGGCCCATTCTCCCCCATCCAATGTGTGTCATCTGGTTTTAAAAAAGATTCTGTGGTGTATTTGATATGTAGGAGTTAAAAAAAAAAAAGCTTAAGTTTATCATTCTCCAGTCTGTTGTGTGGTAGACAGTATCTTGTTATTGGTTTTTTTTTTTTCATTGTGAATAGGGGTGAGCATCTTTACATAGAAGCGATTTCTGTCCGAGGCCCTGTCAACTGACCAGTGATGGGGACCTAACTGTACCCTTTACTGTACCCCTTCTCAGCATGAAGCAGCCAGAGCGGTTGTTGCCCCCTTTCCCTAGCAGTAGCTAGGGTCTCCATCTGTAGAGGGGGGAATGAGACAGGGACCATGGGCTTAGAGTAGGGTGAGGGCCTCCGGAAAAAACAAAGCAAGATAATCCATTGTGAGACGTGCTTTGGCCTACTGGGGGGCCCCAGCTTATTTTTCTAACTTTACCCAAGTGCTGCTTTTCTTCCTCCAGCCCTAAATAAATGATTCGCAACCTGGGCAATGTAGTAAGCAAGCCCAAACCAACATAGTAAAAACAGGAAGGATGCCATCTTGGAATTAGACTGCATTCCCAATTTGTTAAAAAGTATGTTACTCTTTAACAGACAGACAATAACTCAGCCCACCTTGGAAGCAAAGCAGGCAGTCTTGAGTGATAAGCTCCCAGAGCAGGAAGCTGCTATCCTGGGAAGAAATCAGAGCAATAAAATTCTTGTAAATAACCAGGAAGACTAATAAGAAACTTAGTGTTTCTTCAAAGGTAAACATTTTGGGACCATTTAGCAGGTATACATCCCTAGCCCTTTGTCTCTCAAGTGCCTATAAAACCCCAAGACAGGGTATGTGGGGGGGAATTGGTGAAGGGGGGAGCCTAGTAAACATACTGTCCTTCATGTAATTGTAGATTAATGATACCAAAAAAACCCCCCAAAAAACAAAAAAACCCCTAGACAACGCACCACCCCTGGGATTCTTGTCCCCTCCTGGCTTGAGCCAGGAGCTCTGTCCTGTCCTCTCGCTTTCTCTCTAAATAAGAGCCACTGCCTTGCTCTCCTAAAAAAAAAAAAAAAAGCCATTTCTGGATGTACTTTTAATTTCTCTACTTTTGATTTCTTCTTTTCTTACTAATTTGTAAGAATGCTTTCTAGAAGAAAGAATATTGAATTATCATCTTTCAAGTGCTGCAGACCTTTTTTGTCTGTGATGATCTTTGTTTTTTCCAGGAATAAGGTCTGTACATTGATGTAGTCGACATTTTCATAGAAACAGGACTATTCCATGAAAGGGCATCTACCTTAGGATTCACATGGCAAATGTGCCTCTTCTAATTCACAGTCCTGACCATCTTATTTCATATACGCACCCTAGCCAGAGCCATGTTCTGTTTGACTTTCTAATTTTTGCCCATCTGATGGACATTGAATAAATAGCTAGCATATTGATTTTCCTTTTCAAAGTTATTTGTGAAGTTGAATATCTTTCTTTGTATTCACTGTTCATTTGCATTTAAAAAAATAGATGTGAATTGCCAGTTTATGCTCTGTGCCCGTTTTGCTTTTGATGGGTTCATTTAAAGAAATGAGAGTCTAAGAATCTTTCATATCATAAGAATATTAACCTTCGGTTTGTTATCTTAATTGCAATTCCTATGTCTCAGTTGATCTCATTCATATTTTGGCACAAAAGTTAAACACTTTGATGTAGACAGACATACTGACTTTTTCTTTAGGGTTTCCAGTTCTTGTGACATGCTGAGAAAAATCTTCTCTGCTTTAAAATTATAGAAACACACCGATGTTTTCTTGGGGTGTTTTTATAGCTTCATTTTAAGATATTTGAATTTAGCTTGGTTTAAGGAGTGAAGTTAGGACAACTTACTGGCAAATGGGTCTTACCTCACAGCTCAAACCCCAAAGCTCCAGACGTGTGCACCCAGTTTGTGTTTGTGGCTCCCTGTAAAGAGCCTGATGGGGAATGGGGGCATAAAGTGAAAAAGCATACAGTATGGGATGGGATCCTGTGTCAAATGCCTGTCCCTGGGTGGAATGGAGAGAGAGATTAAGGAGGCCAGACAAGATGGGGTTAAAAATCCCTGGGCTGTGTCGCATCAGGGGTGCCTGTGATGTGCCCACCACCTTACCAGCCAGCAGTGTGACCAGTACACACTTCATTTCTTGCAAACAAGTATTTCTTCTTCCATCTTCTTCCCATTTATTGAAAGACAGCACATAATATAGAAAAGTACATAAATCTTAAACATAGCAGCAAAGCCTAGATCAAGTTATCAGCCCCCAGAAATTCCACTCAGCTGCCTACCCTCACTGCACCCCTGCCCACCAAGGGGTAACCATTGCCTTGACTTCTAATAGCCTTGATTTCTTTGATTGGCACTTGTCATGGTAATATTTCTATAATAAGCATATGTTCACGTATCTGTTTGGTTTTCATTCTGGTGATTTTTCTTCTTCCTGCATTCCTCCGTTCCATGCAGCAGACCTTTGTGAGTACCTGTGTGTAATAATGGTAGGCTCTGTTCTAGGTCCTCGTGCTGTGTGGTGTGCCAAGAAAATCCTTGTCTGCATCCTCATGGGATTTATAGTTTGCTCTGGACTTATATAAATTACAGAGGAGATGAGAGGAAATTCAGATGAATTACCTCTGAAGCCCATAAAAAGCAAAGTGATGTAAGTGAAGATTTGGAGAATTCTGAGCTGGAGGGAGTGAAGTAAAAAAGGCTCATCAGCTCCAATCTCAGATTAAGGAGAATAAACCTTTTATTTTTAAGACACTTTGTTATTTATTTACAAAGTGTTTTGCTGCCATTCTCTTGTTTTGGTCTCATTAAATGAGGACATTTAATGAAATGAAGAATTGAGTCTCAGAGAGGTTAATCAACTTGCTTGAGGTCACACAGCTTTGGAGAGGTCATTGCTTGTGAGGAGGACAGTGGAAGGCAGGTGGGATCTTGAAGATGGGACAAAAGATTTCAAACAGTTTATCGGAAATGTAGAGTTAAAACGTGCATTTTTTTTCACTTGTCTGAATTCCTCTCTTATGTGCCTGGTGATGAGAGAAGAGAGCGAGCTGCAATTCCACTGATCCAGAGGCATTGCCTGCCAGCCCTTCAGTGGGCGTATGTTTTAGAGTGAGTCTGAGGAGCTGGGCATTTCCCTTTTCCGTACCTGGCCTCAGTTTCACCTCCTCACTAAGCAGGCATCTAACTGACTGCACTCCAGTTCTGGTGCAGACAGAGAGTCAAATGCAAACCATTTCCTTCTGGTGCTCCACTCAAGAAACAGCCATTAAGAGTAATCTTAATCTGTGAGATTTTGCCTCTATGTTCCCCTGAGACTCTAACTCCTGGGTCTTGGTCACTCTGGTATTATCTGTTGGAAGCATAAAAAGTCAAAAAGGTTACCAGGCAGTGGTAGGGGTCCAGCTGCATTGGCTGGTCTCATCTGTAGAGGATGCAGTTGCCATGGTAACCCAACTGCTAGGCCGAGGGGGTCACTGGGGTGATGACAGGGAAGGCCCAGGGGCTTGGCAGAGCCTCGCCTGGATGTTACGGGGCCCAGTTCTTCTCAGACTCTCAGTGGTGAGGGACCGGTTTGTTGCCCCCTGCCCCTAATCTGTAGCAGATGAGTCCGTGGCCCCGCTGGGCACGAACAGCCTGCAGGTCACACCATGTGCACCCCACCACACGGGTGTGAGTGCCCAGCTGGCCTGTGCCCTGTTCAGTGGGACTTGTCCCATGGCTGCCTGCTCGGACGTCACAGCTGTGTCTGTTGCTCTAAATGTTGCTGAACGCTCACTCTCGGGGGTTCAGCATTTATCTTGTGCACCGGCAACAGGGGGTCACAGAGTAGCACTGACCCCGGGACCACATGTTGTGGACAGTTAGGAAGAACTTCGTGTGGTGGTCCTTGGAGCAGCCCGCTGGCAGGTGGGAGGGTTCGCTGCTGTGCAGGCTGCAGAGGGCGAGAGCAAGGAGGGATGGCAGAGGTGACAGTGTGGGCAGCGGGCTGGCCATGGAGAGGCTCAGGTCTGGAGATCTTAAAAGGGTAGGTTGGCCTGGGTGGGGACAACTGTGCCAGGCTGAGAGTGTGGCTGTCTCCGCATGGGTGGGTGATGCAGGGAGGAAAGTGGGCTCAGTGTCACCAGACCTTCTGATTTTCCAGAAGCCAGAAACCTCAGTTGTTTAGAGTGAGTCTGAGGAGCTGTGCATTTCCCATTTCCTTAGCTGGCCTCAGTGTCCCCTGCTTACCGAGTAGGCATTTAACTGCACTCTGATTTAAAAGTTGGCAACTAATTCAAGCCATGAAAGCAGCATGCAGAGCAAACCAGTGTACCTCTGGGCTGTGCTACCCTTCCTCTCTGGTAGGCTGGGGCCGGGGTCCAGATCTTGAGCCCAGGGAGGTGCTGGGGGGGAGAAAAGCCATTTCCAGCAGACCCTGAAGGCTTTGAGGGGGGCCAGCACCAGTGGGGGTACCTGCCCTTTGGGGCCCCTGTGTTTAGGACCTTCTCAACCCCCAGATGTCGGGTGCTGAGGCTGAGCCATGTCTATGCAGGAGTGAGTGCAGGGGCTGTGTGACCACCCCAGCTCAGCCCAGGTTCGGCTCCCACTGTCCCACCATCTGCCATGGCCATGGGCTTGCTTTTACTGGAGCCTGCCATCTGCTGAGGACATGGCAGTGAGCTGTCCCGGCATGCCACCTGCTGAAGGCCTCCCTGGAAGGGACCTCCAATGTGTGCATTAAACTTGGGGGGACGTCAGTGCCCTGTCCAGGGGCTCTTTGTCCACAAGACACCATCCCACGCTTCATCTGGGGGGCAGGCTCTTTTTTTTTTCACAATTTTTTTTTATTTTGGTATCATTAATCTACAATTAAAGAAAGAACATTATGTTTACTAGGTTCCCCCCTTCACTAAGTCCCCCCCACATACCCCTTCACAGTTACTGTCCATCTGTGTAGCAAGATGCTATAAAATCACTACTTGTCTTCTCTGTGTTGCACAGCCCTCCCTGTGTCCCCGACGCACTATACATGCTAATTGTAATGCCCCCTTTCTTTTTCCCTGCCCTTATCCCTCCCTTCCCACCCATCCTCCCCAGTCCCTTTCCCTTTGGTAACTGTTAGTCCATTCTTGGGTTCTGTGATTCTGCTACTGTTTTGTTCCTTCAGTTTTCCTTTGTTCTTATACTCCACAGATGAGTGAAATCATTTGGTACTTGTCTTTCTCCGCTTGGCTTATTTCACTGAGCATAATACCCTTTAGCTCCATCCATGTTGTTGCGAATGGTAGGATCCGTTTTTTTTTCTTATGGCTGCGTAATATTCCATTGTGTATATGTACCACATCTTTATCCATTCATCTACTGATGGACACTTAGGTTGCTTCCATATCTTGGCTATTGTAAACAGTGCAGCGATAAACATAGGGGTGCATCTGTCTTTTTCAAACTGGAGTGCTGCATTCTTAGGGTAAATTCCTAGAAGTGGAATTCCTGGGTCAAATGGCATTTCTATTTTGAGCATTCTGAGGAACCTCCATACTGCTTTCCACAATGGTTAAACTAGTTTACATTCCCACCAGCAGTGTAGGAGGGTTTGGGGGGCGGGCTCTTTGGTCAGCTCTGCAGGAACCTCTGGGGTTCGGATGTCCCGCTGACTGCTGTGGTCAGAGGAGAGTCCGGTGCAGTGTTTTCTTTTCCAGCACAGACTACACTGTATTCCCAGAATCTTGCCTGAGAACTCCGCGGGGCTGGCTCCTTCTCACATTCCGAGTTTCAGCTCGGATGTCCTCAGCTCAGAGACTGCTCCCCTGACCACCTGGTGCCGGCCGGCAGCTCCCCCAGCCGCCCTCCCCCGCCTGTGCCTCTGCTTCATTTTCATCCCGTGCCTCCTGGTCACCATTTCTTGTTCCTTCCTGATTGTCTTCCCCAGTGTGTTGCGTGCTCTCTTACCATACCCTGAAGAGGGGAGACAAAGGTAAATTTTGATAGATGCTGCCCTTTTCCTCCACAAATAGGTGGTCCCAATTTTACTTTCCAGCTAACAGTGTGTGTGACAGGGTCCATTTCTCCACCTCTTTGTTAACACTGGTTATTATCAGTCTTTGGAATTTTCTTTACTGCGATAGGGATAAAAATGGTTTATTTTGCATTTGTTTGTTCACTACTTTGAGCATCTTTTCTAATGTTGACTGTCCATTTGTGTTCCTTCTATAAATGGTTTATTTCTAGAAGGACTGATGTCATTCATTGTCTTGCTGGAAGATGGGAGGTGAGCAGGGAATCTAGGAAAGAGCTGTCAGGTGGAGAGACATTCCCCAAATACTCTAGTTGGACAAAGAACCTGAAAGGAATAATGTGCTCTAATGAGAAGGATGTGTGTTCATAAGCCTCCATAATAGGCTTTGAAGATAGGAATGTTCTAGGCACCTCGGGAAGCCTCTAAAGCCAGTCACGTAAAGGACAAACCCCCATCCACCCTAACCCACCTAAGCCTCTAAAGCCAGTGACATAAAGGACAAACCCCCATCCACCCCCACCCACCTTTCCTGCTGTCAGAGGCTGCTGGACCCCTTCGACGGGCCCTGACTCGAAGAACTTGTAGCAATAACGGAAAAGTCTGCACCTTTCCCACCCCATACGGCAGCTGCTAGTCACCTGTGGCTATTGAACGCTTGAGATGTGGGTGTGAAAATGGGGAACCATGTTTAGTAAATTGAATTCAAATTTAAACAGCTGCATGTGGCTAGACACTCCAAAACTGGTCAGCGTGGTCGCAGATCATCGGCTGGTCCTGGCGTGCGCTTCCTGACGTTCTCGTGGTGTGGGTGTTGGATTCAGGGACCGTCCTGATGGTGGGTCCGGCTCTTCTACCCGTAACTCCGCCTGTCTGTGTTAACCTTTCTTTGTGTTTTTCTTGTGTTAGGAACCGTGGTTGGTGTTGTTCTCTACACTGGCAGGGAACTCCGGAGTGTCATGAATACCTCAAATCCTCGTAGTAAGGTGTGTACAGCGGCACAGGATGCTTCTGCTTGTCAGAACTTTCTGACCTGGTGTGTTTTGATGGTCGGTGTTGCTGGGTTGAGGAGCTAGATTTAAACACAGGAACACCAAGTGCTGTTACCTCACGTATAGTATACAGGCTACTGTCTTTTCCTACACACACATACATAGACACACAATACGTAAGTGTGTATTCACATGTATGTGAATACATATGATTTTAAAAGCTTTTAAGTGAAAACAACTATTGAGCACTTGCTGTCTGCTACATCCTTCACGTGCGTCCTTCACGCCAGCCTCTGAGCACAAGTGCTTCATCTTATAGACAAGAAATAGCCGTGAGAAGCACCCTACTTGGCCCAAGCTGCTGGGAGAGCAAGGGGAGGCCCGGCTCCAGCCCCCTGAAGGGCAGGCTGTGTCATGGTGCACAGGGTCAGATCTGTGGTCCACCTCCAGGCCCCCTTCACACCATAACCCTCCTTCCGGCCCCACCCCTCCTTCAGTGTTCAGAGGTCAGAATATTGTAGAATGATTTCCTTTGCCAATACTGTGAAGAAATGCGGGGCTGCCTGAGTCAGTCATTTTTGTCCCCCCCACAACCCAAACACCATCGCAACCATCGTGTCATCTACTCGATCTTCTAGCCGCACCCTAGGCCATGTTGCTGTGAAGTTATGGGTTTGATGTGCTGGTTTCCTGTTTGGTATATATATTAAAATAGATTTGTCACTATTAAAATAATCGTGCTTGTTAGTGCGGCACTTAAACATCAGGTGCCACCAGTGGTGTGTGCCCTGAGCTTGCAGGCAGTACTGTGAGTGTGTGGTGCCATGCTAAGAGAGTGGGACCAAATCATTTTACAGCCACTGTGTGGGTGGTGGAGGTCATGCAGCGCACAGCACCCCCAAATGCGGCAACAGACTGCTCAGGTATTTCCAAGTCTAAATCTTCTCAAGTCATTAAAAAAAACTGAAATCAGAGATCCTTGCGGTCTTTTGGACGTCTGCTGAGCTCTCACCCATGGAGCAGCGTTCCCAGCCAGAGAAACGGGGACGGATGGGTCCCAGTGTGTCTCCCCTCTGGGGGTGTTCATGGGGCAAGGGCTGCTTCTCCAGGGGGAGTGTGGGTTGCACCAGCTCTTTGCAAGCCCCCTTTCATGCGTTGCCCCCCCAGATCGGCCTGTTTGACCTGGAAGTGAACTGCCTCACGAAGATCCTCTTTGGCGCTTTGGTGGTGGTATCGCTCGTCATGGTTGCCCTTCAGCACTTCGCCGGCCGTTGGTACCTACAGATCATCCGCTTCCTCCTCTTGTTCTCCAACATCATCCCCATCAGGTAGGCGGAGACCCAGTGTGTGTTCGGACACCACGCTATTTTCTTCACTAGCAGCCCCGTTGTGGAGCAAAGACCAAGAACAGGCAGGGTCAGGAGCAGAGCCATGACATTCCCCCACACGCACCCTTTCTCGAACTGCTCTCTGTTCAGAGCACCTTCCTTGCCTTTCCCAGTCTACACCAGGGATGCCGCTGAGAGTGCACCTCCTCTGCCAGCTCCCCGGGGTTAGTGGTGGTTGTTGGGAATGCTCTGCTGAGAAAGATTCCGAGCCTGAGTCTGGGCTCAAAAGGAAGTAAGGCTGAGATCGATCAGCAGTGGAAGCTGGGTGGCACGGGCCGGATTGTTTGCTTACCTCATTTGGAGGCTGAATGAATGGTTTAAAAAAATTATGCAAGTAATAGACTCTCATGGTACAAAAAAAATGAAGAGTCTTTTAGTAGCAAATGAGTAAAATGAAAGTCACCTCTGCTGTCACAGCTAAGTGATAATTGCTGTTAATATTTTGGGATGCATTTTCCCCAGACTGCTTTCTGTTTTAGAAGGAGATTCTGCTCCGCAGTGTTGCAAATGCCTTTTCACATCAGATACGTTCACACCCCATCATTTATTAGAAATGCTCTAGTATATATTCTACTCTTAATAGTTTATTTAGTCCCATATGGTTGGGTCCTTGTTTCTACTTCTTCCCTGCAATAAATTATCAGTATAAATATTTATTAAAATAAGCCATACCTTTTTTCCTGAAACACACTGAGTGTTTACAATTTCTATCTTAGACTTGATAGATTGTCTTATATTTTTTCTTGCTTTTTTGCATATTTATATCATCCCAGCTAGACTTCATCTTTTCCTGAGGACAGAGGCTGTGGTTTTGGTACAATCACTTTAGCATGATCAGAATGGGGACGGAACCCCTAGCCAATGTGCTTTGGGCAATGGTTTCAAAGAAGAAATAAATCTACTATATTGCTAGAAGTGTTTGTGTTATCATGTTAAGTGAAACTGTAGATTTTAAATTTCTTTCTACAACATGATTAGAAGTTAGTGGAATCTCATGTGGCCCAGGGCTAGCCAGTAAAATAGTAAACAATTTGATTCATTTATAGAATTACGAGTGAACCTGAAGATCTCTTGTTTTTTGCAATAGAATATATTTAAATGAGTAGAATATGTACTGTGGGTTATTAGCCTTAAAAAGGAAGGGAATCGTGACACAGGCTACCACTGGAGGAAACCTGGGAACACTGTGCTAAGTGAAATACGCCGACATAAAAGGACAAGTCATGTGTGATTCCACAGTATGTCAGTATGTGGTCCCTGGAGTAGTCAGGTTCATAGGTGCAGAAAGTGGAGTGGTGTTTGCGGGGGACTGGGGGAGCGGGGCAATTATTGTCTAATGGGTGTAAGTTTTCACTTTGGGAAGACGAAGAAGTTCTGGAGATGAGTTATGGTGATGGCTGTGCAACAATGTGACTGTATTTAATGCCACTCTACACTGAACATAAAATTTACCGTTTACAAAATTTGATGTTTATTTTACCACAGTTTAAACAAATGAATGGTATCAAAAAGATACTGGCTTAGAGGACCAGTAATTAAAAAAAGGTATGACTAAAGCAGTGACCTGGGTCCATAACAGAGTAGCTTCACAAAAATAACAAATTTGTTTCATGTGATGATAGTGGAATCGACTCCTGTCGCATCTGTGGCTTCAGCGTAGCAGTCTGCGTCTCCAGGGAGTGATTGCAGATGTTAAGGCCCAGATGATGTGTATTTAGAGTCCTCGTTGTTTACAAAAAGAAATGAAGGAGATTTACACGTATCCTGTTAACCTCTTGGCTCCGGTTTTCTGCTTAGTTTGCGTGTGAACCTGGACATGGGCAAGATCGTGTACAGCTGGGTGATCCGAAGGGATTCAAAAATCCCTGGGACCGTGGTTCGTTCCAGCACGATTCCTGAGCAGCTGGGGAGGATTTCTTACTTACTCACAGACAAGACAGGTGAGCTGTTTCCTGGGGCCTTCACAGGATTCCAGGTGAAAGAAGGTGCTTGCCTTACCTTTGTGGAGATTAATTAGAGATGTAAACTGCTGCTGTTTTATTTTCTCATCTTTGATGAATATTGATTATTTGGTGGTGGTGATGACGATGGCAATAGCAGAAAGCCTTACATGGTACTAATTATGTGCAAAACACTATTCTGGGTATTTATATGTAGTTACTTAGGTAATTCTCAACTTAAGCTTCTGAGTTAGGTTCTTTTTTTTTCCATTTTACAGATGATGAAATGAGGCACAGAGAGGTTAACTGACTTGTCAGAACACACAGAGGCAGAAGTGGGATTTGAGCCCAGGCAGCCCAACTTCAAGTCTTAGCCTTGTAACCACATCCCAAAATACTGCTCCATAATTTTGTGTCAGAGTGGTTAAGAGCATAACCAGGGCATCAGGAGACCTGGGTTTCAGCTTCATCTCTACCACTTAGTGACCCCAGGGTAGAAGATCTGGGGCAGCTGACCGTATCAGAGAAAAACTAGGTTTCAGGATGGAGAAGAGCTGGGGCAGTTCTGGATATTCAGCCTCAGGAGCCCAGGGCTGGTCTCCGTAGGGCTCTGTCACTGGGTGGCTCTGCTCATCATCTGGCCGTGTCTCAAGTCAGATTCCTTCAAGCCAGAATCTGGCCTCATGTATGTCATGTGCCACCCACTTTGGAATGAGTCAGGCACCCTGACTGACACTCTTCTAGACTATTCCCAGGTGGCAATTTCCCCATGGAAACCTAGGATGCCATTTTTAAAAGAAAGGAAATTGAATCCCAGGCAGACAAAATAGCACAAGTAGGTGTCTACTCCAGCAGGAACAGTGGGTGACATACAGTAAATCCTCAAATAACAGCTATCATTACTGTTAAGAATAATAAAAACTCCAGAAGTGGGCAGAGATATTCATTTGTCTTGTGTTTCAGGAACTCTTACCCAGAATGAGATGGTTTTCAAACGGCTCCATCTGGGCACCGTGGCCTATGGCCTTGACTCAATGGATGAAGTACAAAGCCACATATTTAGTATTTACACCCAGGTAAAGCCTTCTGTTTTGATACCCAAAACAATTCCTTTGCATTTATTAACACCTATTTTGAGATGTAATTCATAATACTGTACGATTCACCCTTTTAAGTGTACAATTTGGAGGGTTTTTCAGTATATTCACAGAATTGTGTAACCATCACCACAATCCATTTTTACTTCATCATCCCTAAAGGAAACCCCACACCCATTAGCAGTCACTTCCCATTTCCCACAACCATTTCCCCCTCCAAACCAGGGGCGGCCACTAATCCTTTACATTTTGAAGAAAATTGCAGTTGAGATTTTTCCCCCTCGTCCTTGTTCCCACAGTTAATGCTAACGGATATTGGAAAAACCGAAAATTATTTGCCTAGTAACTGGGCAATGTTGAGAAAGAGCTTTGAGAACCTATAGGCTTGGTTGTACTTCAAGTTTATGAACCTGTTTTTTCCTAGTTATGAGCCAGAGCATCAATAATTAATGGTCTACTTGTGAAATAATCAAGATATCACTGAGTAGCTTTAGTTTCTTATCTATATTCAACTCAGCAATCACATGGGAGAAATTAAATGATCAGAAAGGACCTACAACTTATCTGCTCCCACATTTTTTTCCTGCAAAGTTTTTGAAAACCAGTCATTTCTCAGAGAAAGACATTAACTGGTACGTGTCCCCACACTCCTAAGAAGTTAGACCAGTGGGTCCCTACCTCAGCTACTTGGAATTCCTGGTGACATTTTAAAGACAAAGTAGAACAAATATGAAAGAAAAGACATTGACTTGGTTCTGATGCTGTAGAGATTCTGATTCATTAAGAACAGGGAGAGCCTGGGATTCTATGTGTTAAAAGTAAGACGAGATACAAAACAAACAGACAAATCTCTCGGTGATTCTCAGGGCTGAGACCGAAGGCATTAGACCAGCTACGTGTTCTGACACTTGTTTGAAGACAAGAGAATAAACAGGCCACGTTTTGCTTAAATTTGTCAAAATAGGTAAGAATTCTGTAGTCCAAAGTCCAGTCGAAAATGTGAAGGAAGCATTTCTGTATAAGGATTAAAGGTGGAATCCCTGAAGACGTCATGGCACAGCTGTATTTGACACTTGATTTTCTGGAACATTCTCTGGCAGGCACGGCTGGATTACCAGGATGTCCCCTGAAAACGGCAGAGCTGTGGGTAGAGTGTGAATGTGTGGGTGGGTTTTAAATGGAGAGCAGTTAATTCGATCCATGTAACGTCACCATCAACGACCAGCCATGAAATGCTTATAATTCTTCTAGGCTCTCTGTGTAGGCATGTGGCCCATCTCCACATGGTTCCGTGGACCTTTTTTGAAGATGTACGTCAGGACTATTAAGGGATACAAGGCCTTTGTTGGGCAGGAAGGAAAAACCACAGTCAGCCCCATTCCTTCCCTCTGTGACCTGTCATCCTATGTGTCGTGATTTGGTGTTGGCATCTCCAGGACTCTGTGCTGGGCCCTGAACCTCACTCTCCCGGTGGCCCCCATTCCCCCCATCTTCCATTGCCCTGTGGGTGCCAGCGGCTCCCATCACATCTGTGGCTTTGGACTGGAATACACCTGCACGCCTGGCCTGGTGTATTCCACCATACACCATACATCATAAGGACGTTCCTCAGCCTGTACACTCACTTCTCTTCCAGAGATGCTTGTCTCAGTAACTCCGGCCTGGTCCCCCAGGGTCGCCCCCTCCCACCATCCTGCTCTCGCTGTTTGCCCTCTCTTCCCCTCACTCCCCTCACACCACTGTGTTCAGCCTTCAGGCCAGGGTGAGCTGCCTCATTTCTGTGTCTTGGAATAGATTCTTTCCTCTGTGCCATCGACCCCGGGTGCCTTCTGGGCTCCTCCTCAAGGGGTCACTCTGGGGATTGTCATGCTTATCAGCACCTGGCTGAGCTCCCCTCTCTCTTGTCCCTTCTCAGCAGTGCTGGGCTGCTGCTGATTCTATTAGACAGTTTCATAGTCTAGCTGCGTACCCCCAGCCGTAGACACACCCCTTGCCATTTGGGTGGTATTTTTTAAGAGCTTGTACTATTTACAGAAGCCATCCCTTCTCCGGATATTTGTGTAGTTAGTTCAGCTTTTATGGTTCCATTTTTGGTGTAACATTTTACTCTTTATCTAGTGTTAAAAGTCAGAAAACGGTATTTCTTATCATGAACTCAGCCTCATACCCCTTCCTTAGTACAAGCTCTCAGTTGATCTGCCTATCCTGGCCTTGGGTTTGAGATAGCTAAGGGGTGTGGGGTTAGGTCGTCTCAAGGCTGGTGTAAGCTCAGAATTGTAGTGCACCCCCAACGCAGTGAGGCACGTGCATCCTTCCCTTGTGATATCTAAAGATCCTGCAGTAAACCCTGAGTGCTTTTCACAAAATTCCTCTATGCTCTCGTTCAATGAATTTTAGTAAGTTTATAGAGTTGTGGAACCATCACCACAATCCAGACTTAAAATATGCCAACACCAAAAAGAGATGCCTCCATGCCCATTACAGCCATTCACCTGACCTTTTGAGGTTAATAATAGGATTTTATAATAGTGTTCCATAAAGTGTGGTGTTTGGAACTCATGGGTGCAGTCACTTGGGATGGTCAGAATCACTAGTTATGGGTTTAACAAGTGAACCAGATGATTCCAAAGTGCAGCAGTGTTTGAGAACAGCTGCCATCATTTTTCAGAGCATCAGTGTCTACATCTGTGAGCTCCAAAACAGAGTGGGCAGGATGGCTCTTGGCTGTGTGGGAAGAAACGATTAGGTCATCTATTCACATTTCATTTTCAGGTTCCAAATTAAAGCAAAATTTAAGTCATATTAATACTATTGAGAGTGACCAGGGACCCTCACTCCTTACATCAAATGAGCATTTGTCAAGTATGGTCCTTGCAATGTCCTGTGGAAGGAGTCAAGAATTGTACAATTGTTTATTTGTAGAACATTGAAATGTAGATTGCAGTTTGAGTGTCCAGATGACTGGTTTTAGGGATGTTATTTAACTAAATTAACTTCATAAAGAGGTGGCTTTAAAAAATTCCTGCTGGGAACCCCCAATTGTTAAAATAAGTCCAAATAAACCACAGGCAGATTACCAGTTGTCTTGCCAATGGGTTTCAGCCTTGGGCAAGTTTGCTATGGATTCAGTGTGACCAAAGAAATGACAGTAGAACGTTCTTGGGGTGAAAGGGTTATACCCAACTTTATTTCCACGGTGTCAGGTCAGTCACTAGAATCCTGTCCACTCAGAGCAAGTCTGCATGCAGCAAGCCAGTCTCTGCCTCTGGGCCTCTGTCCTCGGTGTTGCCACCACTCCGCCTCTGCTCTCCTGCAGCCGTGCCACCGTGTCTCCCAGAGCACTGGGCGGAGCTCTTTATGTAGAGTCAATAGAAATGAATTGCCCACACGTGTGCAGTGAGCTAGCCGACCAGGGCCAGGTGAGAATCCTGGCCACAGGAGCTTTCATTTTATCCACACCGATACATTATGAAATAAAACCATAACAGGCTATGGAGATGTGATGATTTTCCTCTAGATCATTTATTTTTTGGTGCCTTTAGCACAATACTGCAGTATAATTCACAAACCTCAAAATTTACCCCTTTAAAGATTACAATTCAGTTATATTCTTAACATCGTGCGGCCATAGTTAATTGTCTCGTTTCTGGGCATTTTCATCGCTCCTAAAGAGATCTGGAATCTCCCAGACTCCCACCCCTATTCCTCATCCCCTCAGCCACCAGCAGCCGCCAGTCTGCTTTCTGTCTCTATGCATTTGCCTATTCTGGGCATTTCATATCCAGGCGCCTCAGAGATATTGTGGGGTCACTTCCAGACCAACGCAGTAAAGCTAGTATCGTAATAAAACGAATATCACAATACAGCGAATATTGCAATAAAGCGAGTCAGATGAAACTTTGTTCCCTGGGGCATATGAAAGTTATGTTTACAGTATACAGTAGTCTATTAAATGTGCAGTAGCATTGTGCCTAAAATGCAATGCACATATCTTAATTAAAAAAGACTTTATTCCTAAAAAATACCATCATCTGAGCTTTCAGTGAGTTGTAATGACTGATCACAGATCACTGTAACAAATATAATAATAATGAAAACGTTTGAAATATTGTAACAACTGCCAAAATATGACACAGAGACACAAAGTGAGCAGATGCTATTGGAAAAATGGTGTTGATAGACTTGCTCTAAGCAGGGTTCCACAAAACTTCAATTTGTAAAAAACACAGTATCTGCAAAGTGCAATAAAGCAAAGTGCAGTAAAGCAAGGGGTGCCGGTAAATGGAATCATACAGTGCTTGCCCCTGGCTTATTTCCCTTAGCCTAATGTCTGCAGGGTTCTTCCAGGATGTAGCATGCATCAGCACTTCCTTCGCCTTTATGACTGAAAAACAGGACATTTTGAAACACGATTTTAAATCTATAATTCTCAGTACCCCTTACCCTGAGTATATGTTATTATTTTGAGATACTAGCCATAGTTTTGTGAAAGATGCTGTTTTTCATTCTCATAATATCTATTTAGAATTCATTTTGTTACAATGCACAATGCAATGTTTATACAATGTTAAATATACATATATGAAGGGTATGTTAAAGATTTTTTTCCCCAAATGTGTTATGTGATCAAAATATTTTGAGACAACTGGTCTTCATTACCTGGAATATGTAGTGGTCTGTTTTCCTTCAGTCCATATCTTTAACTCTTGTTACTATATGCATCTAAAAAAAAAAATGAGTGAGTCTGGAAAATAGCCTCATGATGTCCTGCTCCAGAAAAGGCTAAGACTGCATGTTCTAGGCTGTTTGTTTGTTTAATTTTTTATTGAAATATAGTTGATACACAATATTACATTGGTTTCAAGTATACAACACAGTGATCAGTTACACACATTTAATCTTCCACCTCAACTAGTGCAGTTACTGTCTGTCAACATAGGAAGATGTTACAGAATCATGACTATATTCTCCATGCTGTACTACCATCCCTGTGACTAGTTTATAATATGAGTGACACTTTGTGCCTGTTTATCCCCCTCACCCTTCCTACCCATCCACCCCAACCCGTCTCCTCCCTGGTAACCACCAGTCACTTCTCAGGGTCTATGAGTCTACTGCTGTTTTGTTCATTTTGTTTTGTATAGTTTTTAGGTTCCACATAAAAGTAAATCACATGGTATTTGTCTTTCTCCTCTTGGCTTATTTCATTTACCATAATACCTCTAGGTCCATCCATGTTGTCACAGATGGCAGGATTTCTTTTCTGTGGCTGAATAACATTCCATTGTGTATATGTGCCACATGGTCTTTATCCATTTATCTATTGACCGGCTCTTTGACTGCTCCCATATCTTGGCTCTTATAAAAAATGTGGCAGTAAACAGGGATGTATATATCCTTTCAAATTAGAGATTTTGTTTTCTTTGGATACATTCTTAGAAGTGGAGTTACTGAGTCTCTTCTAGGCTGTTTTATTCTTATAAATTTGGAACTTTCAAAACACGTTTTTGATCTGTGAACTGTTATTTTTCACTTAATATTTTGTCTCTGATATTCTTTTGGGATTGTTGTTAGACTTGGCATTTACTCAGCTCCTTTTCCTTTCTATTGAGTATGTTGCTGAATGTGTGAGCTTGAGGTCTCTTTTTCTGCACAAGACAGATATGCACATGACACATTCCAATTGTCAATATTTACTGCAACCCAGATAGTGTTCTCATTTTCTGCTCCATAGGTAACATAAAGTTAAGTTTGTGCTTTCTTGAGAAGGAATTTTTTATCTGTTTGTTTTCCTCTGGGGCACAAGTTTACTTTGCTTTTTGCTCATTTAAAAAAGCCTCTATTTCTTTGGATACATTTCTTTCTTGCAGAAAAAATAAATGATAGAGATAGGTACAAAGAAAGACACCAAAATCACTTACTTCTCTCAGAGATAAACAGTGTTAACACCTGGGTGTGTGAAATGCCAAACTATTTCTCTGCCTTTGTGTGTCAGGAGAGATGTGTGTTTTGTTTCTCTGTGTGTTTCTTTCTTTTTTTTTCTTTTTGACAGGAAGGCATTGTATTTTCATAATTCTTCTTAATTAGAGTTGAGCATCAAAATTGTGCATGAAGTTTAAAAGTATACATACATGCCTGGGCCCTCCTGCTTGCTTTTGGTGTGTGGGGCACCCCCCAAGTATATATAGTCCTTAAAGTGTTTATTGGTTATTTCTGTTTATGTACACTGTTAGAGTAACACTATCCATGATTGGAAAGGGGGTATGTGGTAGGGACTTGATAAATGGGAGTCTAGTAATCATAATGTTGCTCATGTAATTGTACATTAATAATACCAAAAAGAAAGAATAACACTATCCAGCTTCCTTTTTTTCACTCATGTTAGCAATCACAATCATTTTTAGTGGTTTTATAACAGGGCCAGGACTAGGGTAAGGAGAATCAGGTGCATGCCTACGAACAAAACTTAATGAGATGCTAAAAAATGTAGTGATCAAGATGAACCATATTGTAATGCAACCTTTAGAAAACTCAAAATTAATGCAAAAACCCATGATGAGCACAATACTAGAATTTCAGATGGATCAGCTCCAGCTCTGCACGAGCACAGTTCATTCAGCCTGAGCCACCTGACCTGGTGTTACAGTGTCATGGCTGTGCACAGGCGGTTCTCCTCATCAGCACGGTGACACATTGGGCTGGGTCAGTCTTTGCCGTGAGGGCTGTCCTGTGAGTCGTACAGGGTTCAGCAGCATCCTTGCTCTCTACCATCTAGGTGCCTGCAGCACACCCTCCCCCCTGCATTGTGATAACCCAAAATATCTCCAGACACTGACAAGTTGGGGCTGATCGCCCCCGCTGAGAACCCATTCTCTGTGAATTAAGATTTGCTGCCTCGGTTATGCTGGAAGAGGTCTGCTATTAAATCGTAGATGTTGTATTTATTCAGTTACTAATCAGCCTGTAACTCAGTTGTGTCATTTGGAACCATCCACGAGCCTGTCTCTTGCGGGGTGTAGCCTTTTGAGGTTAATGAGTTACCAGCTTTGAGCTTTATTTAGGGAGCAAATTGGGGCTATCAAAACAGGAATTTCTCCTCTTTAATAGTGTATTTTAACAGTTGCAACTCATCCATAAAACCCATTAATACTGCATTTAGAAAGAAAATTGATATTCATGGGTGACTCAACATTTAATGTTTGTATTACAGACTGGAGTTATTGGGAAATGCCCCTGCCATGGATCATTAATGAGAAATGGAGGCATGTTTTTCCATTGAGTGTCTGTGTCTCCTTAGTTGGCTGGGATGTACAGAATGACGCTGACGTATCATTACATGAGGCAGGGTACTCACCCAAGGGCCCAGGTGGGGGCCTTTGTTCCCGGAGGTCTTGATTCCTCTCCTAGCTCTGACCTCACGTGGAACTATTTTGCCCTCCCTTCATAGGAGGACTAATGTTTTCCCCCCCCAGGGCAAAAAGAGTTGTAACCCGCCTCTGTGGATACCACATCTGTTTTTATTTTCCCCTGGTATTTTTTAAATAAGAAGAAATGTGTGTGGGTTAAAGGGCCTACGTGCAGGAGGTTAGATAGAGATAAACACTGTACAATGTGAAACTTTTCCATATGGGGAATGTGAGGATGTTTGGGGACGGGGCCTGCTCCTCACACTAGCTGGGCCCCTGGTAGTGACCAGTGCCTTAATGGTATATGTGGACTACCCTTTGCTGTGTGTATGAGCCTTTTATTTGAAAATTGAAAGAGAATTTCAGAATCAATGGTTATGATCCCTTCTCCCTACTAAACATCTTAGGAGGAAAGGGGGATAAGTATTAATTTAAGAGAGAAATAAATGAACATGGAGACACTAAACCAGTTGCCTGTGGTGCTGGTTGAGACTAATCACCTTCATTCTCCTCTGTGGTCCGGTGGTTCCCTGATGGGAAAGCAAGGTCTTTGCAGAAATCTGGGCTGTGTGTCTATTTTTGCCTTGCTCTGGGCTGGTTTCACCTGGAATACAAAACCCCAAAGCTCTGTGTTATCCCAACATTTGAAATGCCAGTAGTACTTGATTTCTGTACACATGGAATCAGATGGATTTTAAAATCCAAAGGTTTGTGAAGGTTGCCCTTAACTTGGCCTTTCATTCAAACCCACTAGTACTAAAACTTGCCAGCCAAGGCAATTACTTTGTCAGAGGTCTTGTTATTGCCTCTAATGTTAGATAATAATTTGGTCCAGGTGCTGAGGAATGAGGGCAAAAACGAAGACGCATCTGTGGCTAGAACGTAAATTACAGAACTTAGAGAAAACGTTCTTGATTTAGTCTTTCCAGCAGAGAGAACCTTTCTGCAGATCTTCAGTGCTTGTTATAATTTTAGATTTAAATTCTCTATAATGAAAAGCACTTGGCAAATAATGATTCATTTAAAGTGTAGTTCTGATTCATTACTCTAATTATTGTTACCATGCAGTGCCCTTTGGCCTGGAAGTGAAACTTGTGTCCTCTTGACACCAGAGGTTAACGGAGCAGGAAGCTGGAGCAGTGTGTGTGCCTGTGCGACCAGAATAATTTAGTAATTGTCTAATTACCTGAGGAGTCTAATGCCGCTGCTAAAAATAGTATTAAAAAATTAAATGAAAGTCCTTTTATTGTTTCTTGGAGCCCATCTGTTCTCTATTTTGGGCGACCATGTGTTCATGGGTATAAAACACGATTCATTCTGCTGGGTCAGATTGCTTCTCTTCTGTTAGATAAAATATGTTCTTAATGGAACGTAGCATCAGGTAAGTCCAGAAACATCTCTAGCTTCCCAGGGCTACTGTAGGAGGTCTTTTTGTCCAAAACTGTGATTTAAAACAAGGAATTGATGTTGACTAATTTGATATTTATTTCTCCTTGGAAATGGGAAAAAAAAATTCGTGTCCAGTGAGGACTCCCCATCATTCATTGATTAATAGAAGTATTAATTTGTTCATTTGTCCTGCAAGTATCTGTTGCCTGCCAGGCACTCCTGGGTACTAGGAATGCAGTGATGAGTGACACACAGACCACTGTCTGTCCTCATGGCCTCACGGGAGAATCACCAGGTAAACAGCCCAGTTTTAGACAGTGAAGACATTAACAGGGTGATGCCAAAGCAGAAGCATGACTTCCAGGGGAGAGGGCAGCTGGGGCAGCAGGAACTGGGGACTCAGGGAAGGCCTTTGAAGAGATAACATTGGAACTGAGACCTGCCTGAGTGATGAGATGGAGTGAGCCAGCCTGGCGAGATCTGGGAGGTCATGTTTTAGGCAGAGGGCACAGCGAATACAAAGGCCCTGAGGCAGGAAGGATCTTGACAGTTTTCAAAGAATAGGAAGGCCAGCATGGCATGAAGGGAGGCTGCAGAGGTGGTCAGGGGCTCGTGAGGTGGGCTCTGTGGACCACAGGAGGGCATCTGTGTTTTACTGAACACTGAGTGCTGGAGGGCCTCACAAAGAGAATTCTCTGCTTCAAGAGTCAGTAGTGCTAAGGTTGAGAAGCCCTGGACTCAAACGCCTGCATCACCTGCAGTCGTGGGACCCTCTCTCTGTCAAAGGCTCTGAAATCACCCAAAGAAAGATAGATGCACATGGTCTCAGATAAAGCCTCCACATTCACTAAATTGTAAATTTTTCCTCTTTATTTTGCATGTATTTTTGGCAAAGGTAAATGATCAGATCCCTGAAACCTGTAACCACTAATTGCCATATCACTATATACACACCTGAGCAGCAACTCCATGTGGACTTTTTTCATACTTTTGAGAACCTTCCATGTGTCTGGTCATCTTCAATCTTTCCTTCCCACAGCAGTCTCAGGACCCCCCCGCTCAGAAGGGCCCCACGCTCACCACCAAAGTCCGGCGGACCATGAGCAGCCGTGTGCACGAAGCGGTGAAGGCCATTGCACTCTGCCACAACGTGACTCCCGTGTACGAGTCCAACGGCGTGACCGACCAGGCTGAGGCCGAGAAGCACTATGAGGACTCCTGCCGCGTGTACCAGGCGTCCAGCCCAGATGAGGTAAAGCCCGGGCGGGGGTGAGGCACACAGACGCATCCTTCCCACTCTCCACACAGTAGAGGTGGGTGGGCTTCCCTGACGGAGCCCCCTGTTTGGGTCACCAGAGCCAGGAGGGCGCCACGTCACCGGGGAAACACGTTTGAGTCGAGTGCAGGACCTGCTCCTCCCTGAGAAGAAATAGTCCTGGACTTGAGCGGTATCCTGAATTAGGAAGGAGCAAGACGTCCTGTTTGTAGTTGGGATGGCTGGCACGTAGGCGGCACAAGGTCCTATTTAAGCTGCATCCTTTTATAAAAAAAATAGGAGCTTTAATAAGATGCAGTCCACATACCATACAGTCATCCATTTAACACATACAGTTCTGTGTTTTTCAGTATATTTTTGAGTTATGCAACCATTGCCATAATCGATTTTAGAACATTTTTATCATTCCAAAGGAGGCACTCCGCGCCCACATTCCCCTAGGCTCCTCTACAAAC